AAGTCTAGGACTGTGTGTGTGTGTGTGTGTGTGTGTGTGTGTGTGTGTGTAGTAGGGGCAGGCTGAAGTCCAAGGCTTGTTGTTTTGGTTCTGTGCTCTTTAGCTCTTGAATTTCTGTCCCTCAGGATTTTTCTGTTTGGATTGAACTCAAGGCCTTTGGCATGCTAGGCAAGCGCTCTACCATGGAGCCATATCGCCAATGGCTCTCAGTTCTATAAGAAAAAGAAAACAACAACAACAAAACTAGATCAGCCTGCCCTTTTAACACCTCTAGACTCACCCATCACTTCTCTCTGCAAACACTACTACCTGGATGAGGGGTCCCCGTCTATCACCTTCCCAGAATCAGGTCCAGCCAAATTCCCCACCCGTCTGCCCTTCCCACCTCTTCTGTTCTGTCTCTGCAGACACCTGTGTTTGCTTCATTCCCTCCTCAGGCTATCCTTGCTTCAGGCTTTCCTCCAAAGGTCAAACTTCTACACTCCACTTCCTTACTGCCCACTCCACCTCTTGCCGAGAAATGACACACAGCAAACCTTGCTCTGGCTTAGAGTGCTCCGTTCCAAAACCATCTCAAAAGTCACTCTCATAAATGGAAGGATCTCCCATGCTCATGGATAGGTAAGATTAGCATAGTAAAAATGGCAATCTTACCAAAAGCAATCTACAGATTCAATGCAATCCCCATGAAAATCCCAACACAATTCTTCACAGACTTGGAAAGAAAAATACTCAACTTCATATGGAAAAACAAAAGACCCAGGATAGCTAAAAGAATCCTATAGGATAAAAAGTCACTCTCATGACCACAATGTTGGCACTGAGTCACCAGGAAGCTACAAATGCAGGTATACCACCAATGTATGTGTGAGGATTAATAAATGTCAACTTGACAGGACCTAGAGTGATCTTTCAGATTAGCTTAATTGGGAAAACCAACCATTCCACCGGCTGTGGCCAAAACTGACTATAAAGTGAGTAGAGAACCAGCTCCGAGGGCTCTCTGCTTCCCCAGTCTGAATGCAGTGTGACCAGCCACCTCTCACCCTGGCTGCTGCGCCTTCGCCACCAGGACGGACTGGACCCTCCAACTGTGAGCCAGAACAGATCCTTCCTGCCTTC